CACATGCTGCTTTGGCGACTCGTCAGAAAATCGCAGAGCTAGGCTGGGAAATTCTGTCGTATCCACCATACTCCCCAGACCTAGCACCCTCCGATTATCACTTGTTTCTCTCTTTGCAAAACTTTTTACAGGAAAACAAATTCAAAACTGAAGCCGATGTCAACCAAGCACTAGTTGAGTTCTTCGCCTCTAAAAATAAATCATTTTTAAAAAATGGCATTTTCAAGTTGCTATCACACTGGCAAGAAGTCATAAGTAACGATGGAAAGTATATTCTACAATAAAAATATTATTAAATGTATGAAAATTGTGTTATATTTCAATTCAAAAACGGACAGAACTTTCCGGTAGACCTTATATATATAATTTAAAACAAATGTCAATATCTAAAGTTTTGTATTATTACCATCTTTTGATTCAAACTGTGATCCCCACCGCAATTAACATGTCAAACATGGTTTATACACTGTAACTTATCTATTGCAGATAATATTTCAACATTATATGTATCACATAAAAGAAAATTCATCGTGGCGCCACAGGCAATGTCTATAAAACTGGTGTGGCATTCAACGTGTTAAGTTTGTAATATTTTTTCGATTGAACTATATTCTTCTAAATAAAATGCTGTATGTTTGATATGTGATGTGCTATAGGATGACTGTCAAGGTCGTACGATATCAGAAATTAAAAATGTACTCAGCGATTTAAATGATTTCAAAGTAAAGATAACACCACTGTGCTATATAAAAAGAGATACAGCATTTCTTTTACAAAAATTGAAGTTCACCTTTGTATCTTGACAAATATTTGAACATGTTTCTTTTGTTTCTTTCTATTACATACTCACTACTTTTAGGACGAATATATTTATGCTTCGATACAATGTAAAAATTGTTTTAACAAAGCGATATGTCCAAAGTTAGATAATTTAAGACCAGAACTACTGAGCGGGCCAAAATGACTTGCTCCAAATTTTTTCCATTTACACTCACTGAAATCATACAAATATTTTACTATAGGAAATTTTTTGATGAACTTTTTTGTTCGAACCACTACTATAATAGCAATCGCACAATGTTTGAGTAAAATTAATCCTATCATTGTTACAAAACAATATGTATTAGTCAATATATTATATATATTAGTCAATATATATATTATCAGACTACGCAATTCTAGTTTTAAAAGTAGTAAAACGCCAGGCCTGGCATTGAAATCACTGAAGCGTACCTTGCAGATCGGTAAGAACAAGCTTATTATCGTAGCCACCGGTGAGCAGGTAATACGCGGAAGGCGAGAAACGTATGCTCCTGATGTCGGCCGCGTGCGGTTTGAAGCATTGCACGGTTCTTCCGCCTCGGATGTCGAACAGGACGCAGCTACTGTCCTCGTGACCGGACACCAGAAGACGTCCGGACGGATCGACGCAAAGCGCCGCTACGGGACTGCCAACCTGCAAAGGTATCAAATGCTGATCAGACACGAGATAATGACTCTGTTCCATATTGATACTGAAGTACGTCCGATAAAGGTTCGATCCTAAGAGGGCACTAGAGAGTGAGAAAGAGAGAGAGAGAAAGACAGTTGAAAGTCGTGGAAACTATGAAATTTGTGATGGGGTAAAATGATCGGTGCGAGTTGAAAAACGTGGGTCGAAGACTTTATCGGACGTGGAACTGAAAACGGAACTGAAACAACTGAAAATCGATGTCCTCGGTGCATGCTGGATGCGTCGTCTGTTACAGAAATCCTTTCTGCGTTGAGAACATAATGTACAGAGTGCCCTAAAATTATAGTACAAGCGGGAAATGAGGGGTTCCTGCGGTCGTTTGAAGTAACTTTTTCTTTAACGAAAATGCAATCCGCGGCTTCGTTTATCAGTTATTAACGAAAAGTAGTAACCAATGAGAAGCGAGATTAGCTAGCGCGAGGCGGCCGAGCCAATTAGAGGAACTGGGCTTCGACAGCTTGTTGGCTCGCGGCAACCGAGCTCGCCTCTCATTGGTCACTGTTTTTCGTTAATAACTCGTAAACAAAGTCACGAAATGCACTTTCGCTGAGGAAAAAGTTACTTCAAATGACCTCAGGAACCCCTCATTTCTCGCTTGTACAATAATTTTGGGACATCTTGTACAATGTACCAAAACTTAATAATGAATACGTAATATCAATAACAGAAAATTTAATTTATATTTTCATTTGAATTTAATCACTCAGCTGTGTAGATCAACTTAAGAGGTACATACAATATATTATTTTATCGTATGTACAAATTGTGTATATATATCATACGTACATTGTATGCAGATTCCTTCAACAAGGTTTTCTAAGATTATTCTAAAATGTCTGAATATTATGAATACGTTTCACAAAAATTTTAATTGGAACAATGAGACGAGTGTACAGTAATTTCTCCCAGAAATGTTCGGAGGTCGGAAATGAAATCGGCAGTTCTGAGAATACTAAGTCGCGATTCTTTGGGCCTCGAGGCTCGTTTTTATAGAAAACGAGCAGTCGGATGAAAAGGCAGCAGCCAGCATGCCAGTGTACATTAATACGAATACATAGTAATGCTAGAATAATAACGATGACTTACGTTTTTTATTTTCAATTTTTTGCCACGATTCGAAGGCAATTCGGAGGTCACATGACACGATTCGACGGTCACGTATCTAGTACCTACCACATACCTTGTGGTACCTTCGCGGATTTTCTTACCCGACTCACACACAAACAAACCATTTTGTGTTGTTTTTCGGGAATTCGCTTCGCGACCGTCTCCGTCGACGGTCAATAAATTACGAGACGTAATTAGCATCGACGTAGCAATAAATTACGTAAGCGTAGTACCAGTACAAGGAAATTCAGAGCAACCCGAAATTTGGCATTTTCGAGAGAAATTACTGTACTTGTTCTAGCACAAAAATGTACATTTCTTCAGGACAAGTGTAGCCTTTCTATACAGCTAAAGGGTTAAATGCGAATGTAAAGTAGAAAGAATTTTTGCAATTTGGACCAATGACGGGAAGAAAGCACTAATTGAATAAACTACTTCGCTAGATAGTACTTGAAATTTATGCTTCTAATTCCCGATGAATTGAGATAGCTATCCGAAGCAGGCCTGTCCATTTTTTATTCTCCGCTGTAATAGTTTTTTCATAGCGAAACATTACTTCACGAAAGTACGAATATACAATGTTATTTTATGAACAGACCTAGCATTAAATGGTTTGAGTGCCAAATGGTACGAACTTGTTGAAGCAAGGTAAGAGATTTTCTAAGACATTTCGACAATATTTCATTTTAACTTCTCATGTCTTGATGATATCAAATTCAGAAGATTCAATCATTTTCGATAAAATCCTGTCGCGATTCAATCAAGCTTACGTTCGCTAAATAAGTTAGCGAACAAAATCTCTTGCGAACTTCGAAGCATCCTTCTTCAAGCAAATCAAGATATTGCAAATCGTATTTTCATTTTCATCAAAATTATACTTAAAAATCTTCTTAATGTAGTACGGCTTCTGTAATGCCATACTTTGACGAGTCGGGCTTGTGATGGAGATTTCTATGAGTAACCTGTTAATTATGAATGTTATTCCGTTCTTTTAAGTCAGAATAAAGTTCCCTTAAATTCAAATAAATTTAAGCACTTAAATCACGTTCATTTCTTTCCAGAAAATTACGAATCGAAAAAGTCTTAATCGTGATCGTGAAGAAAATGACACCGCAAGGGAATACAAAACTTTGTATTGTTACAATTTACTGCTAAAGATATCTCAATTTTGTCAACAGCTACAATCGCGTACTAAAATCATGTCTAAGAACATAATCTAATATTTCGTTCTACAATTACATCGTCAAGCCTTTTTCCGATCTATTGGGTTGGCAACTAAGTAATTGCCGATTTGTTCAATGAAATAAAAAATTTTTTTTTACTTGGAACGAAGTTTAATCTGTAATGTATTTTCCATTTTGTTCGATGACCTTTTGCCATCTCTCTGACAACTTGAAAATTCCTCGCTCGCAGAAAGTCTGATCCTTTTCGGCCAAAAACTGAGTTAAGTGAGATTTTACAGCGCCGTCGTCGTTAAAAGTTTTACCACGAAGGGAGTTGTCCAGGGATCGAAATAAGTGGTAATCCGATGGCGCGAGATCAGGGCTATATGGTGGGTGTAACATCGATTCCCAACCAATATCCATCAATTTTTGCCGAGTGGACAAAGACGTGTGCGGCCTAGCATTGTCCTGCTGGAAAATGACACCTTTACGATCGACCATTCTGGTCGCTTTTCCTTGACCGTTGCATTCAATTTGTCCAGTTGTAAACATTCACGGATAATAAAAAATAACATAATAATAATAATAATTTTATAATATAACATTTT